CACAAGGAGCCGTGCATCCCCTGCCTTAGAAGAGGCAGTCTCTTTGTGGCTCTTTGTTAGTCTTTAGGAGTTAGTGGTCCTTGGGTCACTTGCAAGGGCTAAGCTCTTGTGTTAAGATGTTAAGAAGCACTATGGACATCAGATACAGTACAGACAGGGTTTCTAAGAGATCCTAACCCTGGAGCATGCAGTGAATGAGGAAGTTTATAGATGTTGGGAGTGGAAGAAAACAGATCTAGACCATTCTGGAAGTGTTACCTTGTCATTATTTGCCTAGGAGACTTATACGGCAAGGAAGCCAGAAATAAACAGCAATAGCTACGCGGCGGTTTGAAATAAAATTTGTGGTAGATGAAGTGAAACTGAGGCTCCATTAGGGAGGAACTTGTCTTTATAGTCAACTAGTTTTCCTCATTATAAGTGAAAATACAGATATTGCCACACAATAAAAAGAAGAAAATCACCAAGAACCATAATCATAATAACTCTATAAATACAGGCCTACCAATGGTTTTTTTTTCCTAGAGATATTCAGAGTTTCTTGGAAGATGGGAATAAAAAGAAATAAGGAAAGAAAATAAAAAAGAGAGCAGGAGGAGAGAGAAGATAGGACAAGGAGCGGTATGTGTACACAAAGAAAGAGACAGAGGAAAACAGGCGGAGAGACCCGGGCGTAAGACAGAAGCAATCTAAGTGAGAGAAGGCAGGAAGTGAGAGAAGGCTACTGGAAATCTCCTCCGTGGTCCTGGTATCACAGAGCGCTGGGCCCTTGCTCCTAGACGGAGGGGCGCCGCCATGTCTCAGATTTTCTGAAAAAGTTTTGATTCAATTAGATTTGTTTTCCATCAAGGTGATGCCTTCACTGTGTAAACTAAATGTCGTGTAATTTTTATGCCCTGTAAAAATTCCATCTAGATAACTTCTCCCGGGGTAGATTATCTGTTATCATTTTTGGTTCTGAAAGGATGGTAACCACAGAACTGTTGGAGAGTCATGGAAATGGCCAGTGGGCACCATGACTTTTGATATGACCAAGCCCAGGTCTGATGAAAGTCCAGGATATCACACCAGGGTGAAGGTAAATGCTATCACCAAAGCAGAAACAAATAATCATTTAAAAAAACTCTTTGGACAGAGATTTGCCTCCATGGTGTGACCCTTGCCATGTGATGTCAGAATGGGTAGGTACCTTTGTCACTTTTAACTTTTTCCCTTCTCCTGCTTCTGCACCTCTCCCTGTGAGATGATCAGAGTTTACATTCCAGGGGGTGACCAAGCCCCAGATAGTAAGTCAGTGTTCAGATGCTGGGTTCATGGTCGGTGTTCAGCTCTTCCAATGGGATTAGATGTATAGGAGGTAGCAATTCTTAAAGGTGACCCTAAATTTTTCTGAGTGAATGCAAATGCTCTTTTTCTTTCCCACAGCCCCAGGGTAATAGGTGGGTGTTGACTTTGAGTGGAAAGGGGCTGTTGGAAGCGGGCGGTCACAAGCCCCAAGGATTTTTTTCTCAGTAAGGCCATACAAAGTCTTGTAGTCAATATGTAAATTCTCCCTCTTTCCTCCAGAATCCTTAAGTTTTAGCTACGGCTCTGAGGATAGGGGACACTGGGACTGGGAAAGGACCTTTTGCTGCCACAAGTAAGGAGGCATTGAGGTAAAGTTGGATGACTTCAGTCTGGATTTTCTTTGGCTCCTAACTGTCACCTAAGGGTTTGCCACTGAAGTAAGGGATATTTTTGTTTCAGCACCAAATTGACATGGCTTGCGTGACTTTTTAAAAAACAATTGATCATAAAAGCAACAGTAAATGGTAATGGATGTCAGTAACGTGGTTAGAAAATTCAAGCAGAAAATTCAGAAAGGGCTGCCTGAATCTTTATTCGCTATAAAATAAACGGATCCCTGGGCCTTTCATTAGGCGACTTGGGTGGTGTCTGGTTAGTTCTCTCCGGAGGTAATTAAGGTTTGAACCTTTTTCTTTAGTAAGGGTCAGGGAATCTTGTGATGATAGTGGAGAAGCTCTAGACCTGTGCTGTCCAATCAGCGACCACTGCCACATGCGGCCACTTAGTGTCTGAGACAGATGTGGCTCATCCAGATTGAGATGTGCTGGGAGTGTAAAAGACAATAGATTTAGGAGACTTAATACAAAAAAGAATGTAAAATAGGTCATTGATGCTTCCTACATTAATTACATGCCAAAACAGCAATAATAGGTTAAATGAAAATATTATTGAAAGGATTTTACCTGCTGCTTTTTCATTTTTAAAATGTGGCTAGCAGAAAATGAAGGCTGTGACCTGCATTGTATCTCCATTGGACAGTGATGGTTTAGTCTCTTGCTTTAGAAAATAAATATGCACACAATTTGCATCGACTTCTAGAGGGTCCACACACCCTTGGTACTCATCTGTGGACTGCTGGGTCTCCAGGTCAGAGTCTCTCTTGGGGCGCGGTGATGAAGAAGGCTATGGGGGCAGGGCTGTTCCTCTTTCTTTTGAAATGAAAACTTTCTGATTAAAGTTTTTAAAAACTATCAAAGCCACAGGGAAATCTCTAAAAACAAACCTTTGGTAATTAGAGAATGTCACAAGCTCATGGGCTTTGCAGCAGGACTGCCTGGGGGTCAGACTGACAGGTCTCAGCCTGGCCTCTTGAACCCCTTTACCAGCCATGCAGCGTCCTACGGGGCAGCTGTGACCAGGACTTGCCTATAAGATCAACTCCCAATTTACCTGGTTATTGGCAGAAAGATAAAACATCAAGCAGAGAGGGGACTATACGGTCCAAAGGGCATTTTCTCTCTGGGTATGGAATACAATTCGTATTTCTTTTGCTGCTGAATTATCCTTCTCATTCCACTGGATTTAGTGCCAATAATCCCAAAATTTGTTTTGGTCGAAGCTGACTGAAGGAGGACTAGGTGGCACAAGCCTGTGCTGACTGAAAAAATAAATACCTTTCAAGACTCCACACTGTAAGTGAGACCTTTGAAGGTATCTAGAGATCGCAGACTCTGTTACTAATGGTAGTTTTTAAACAAGGCAAAACAAAGCAACTCCTATTTAGACTTCAAACGTCAATCATTTAGAGCTTCACTCTCAGCTACATGGGAGCGCCAAACCTCAACGGCTGCTGTGACATGTTACAGTCAAGTAACTCTGTGTCCCCAGGCCATGAAGTGAAGCCTGCTTGCACAGGTCACCACTATCTGCAAAAAGCCGGATCCCCCAGCAAAGTTCCCATCAGGAGCTTTGGGAATGGTGTGAAAGTCTCTACTTGATAGACAGAGAGGCTGAGGTCTAGCAAGGGTTGGCTCAGCTGGGACGCCTGGCTCCACCCTGCCTGCCTCCCGGCACCTGGAGGCTGGATTTCCATTAGGAAGTGCTGCTGGACTCCTAGAGAGGTGGGACCTTTCTGAAGGTGGGACTCATTTTCCTCCCGTTGCCGTCTACTTCTAAACCACCAAATAGGAAATCGTTAAAGGGGATGCGAAAGCACAACTAGTGTTCTTTCTCCCTGACCCTGTGCGTCTGAACAGGCTGCAGGCTTTCACAGCGGACTGAACTCTGGTTTTGAGTAAATGTTAGTGTCAAGAAGTGGCAGAGCTCTCATCAAATATGTTACTACGACTCAGCGAGAAAAGCCTTTCTTTTGTAGTTAATCCAAGCAACAGCCTGGCCTTCACCAACTGCTTAGAGATGATAAAGTGATCCTTCGGATTGTTCCGAGAAGCTATGCACGGCCTTAGTCATTTCTGCACCTGGAGAGTCTGAAAGTATTACAAAATTGCCCACTGGGGGAAAAAATAGCACAAATAGTGCTATTTCAGAAAACCCCCCAGCATTAAAAAAAAAGTTATAAAAATATGACAACAGTTTAAAAATAGCAGTGGGGTTGAGTATTCATTTGGTATCTCTTTTCCTTTCCCCCTTAGCCTATCTCAGTCAGGAGAAACTTGTTTTAGCAAATTCTCATGCTGTACTTTTTGGTTCAAATGATTTATCTATCAAATGACACCTCATTCCTCACTTGATATCCGGACATACTCAGGGAGCCCCGGGGAGCAATCTGCTAAGGATTCACTTAAATCCTTCCATGTGGTCTGGGGAGGTTTAACAGCAGTGGACAGCAGTGTGTGGAAATAGAGGTAAGATTAAGGTGCTTACTGCAGCCCCCATTGTATTTGCCACTGGGCTCGAAAATGCCTGACCCTCCTCTAAAGCCCCTAGCTCCTGCAGAACCCACTTATGGAAGTGACAAAAACCATTTCAGCTCAGGGGAAACCAATGCAACAGGCATTTTGTTTTTAATGGGAAGAATATGTAGTATCTGGTTTTAAAATCAGCCCCATAGCCTCTAAAGATTGGATGCCCTGGAGGGGGCTTCTGAGTTCAGAATTTCAGCCAAAGACAGTTAGAGCCAGGTGAATTGAACTTCTTCCCTAGAGCTCCCTTCTCCTGTCACCATGGCCTTGAAGGCCTGTCAAGTGGAAGCCAGTGTGTTGTAGCTTAAAATAATGATCGTGGCCTCAGCAAATTAGAACTCAGTCTTGGGGTCTCTGGCAGCTGGGATTTTTAAGACTCATGTAACAGGATATAGATTCCTACTGAAAGCTGGCCTTGGTCTGTTTCCGGGTGCTGACGCACTTCTCCAAGCCATGCACACTTCATGCTGAGGTCAAGACCATCCATCTCAAAGGTGGAATACAAACCACCTGCTTTGGAAGGAACTGGTGCTTCTGAACAGAAACCTGTACAAAAGCTGGAGTGAACCCAAGGGAGAACACAGGAGTAGATATATACTACACACGGTCTTCCAAAAGAAATTTCCAAAGAAACCAAACAACATTCCAAAACCAAGAACAATGAGACCTGGAAAAAATGGAAATGAAACTGAGAAACCCTAATGGTGTCCTCTCAGCGTCTGTTCTAGGAGCTTCTGAAGAGTATGTCTACAAAGACGTGGGCGTGGGAGCCAGCGTTCAGCCTCCAGGCTGCCGAGGCCGTGGACTGTCGCAGAGATGGAGAAACGGCATCCTGATTGACAAGACTTTGGATATTGCTTTTTGTTCTCATTCTTGAATGGCGCACCCTGGAGTCGCTAGGTGCCCTGCAGGTGTGTGTCTTGGTTCAAATCCCAGCGTACTAGTCCCTGTCTTCCCTTTGGGTCCTACTATCTCTTTTTTCTGTCTTCACCATTTCAAGATTTCACCTCTTCGCAGTCTTGGTCAGTGGAAAGTTCTACATCAGACAGTCCAACTTCCATGGCCATAATCAACGATATGTCGGAATCGCTGCTTACAGCTGGCTCCTGCTCACCTGGGAAGACAAAGCAAAGTTTGATTCTGGTTATTTCAATAACATTTCCTTCAAGGCCAAGAGAAGGTATCAGAAGAATTGGTTATTCTGTTAAAGCCCCATCTCACCCTATATCCCCAAATAAATTCTAAATGGGTGAAAAATTCAAATGTAAGCAAAAGAAACTAATAAGGCTAGGAGATAATATATCATCTAAGATTTATATCTAAGTAGGAAAACACATATCTATTATGTCTAAGTAGGGCAAGAAATCCTATATGGAAAAGTAATCAAGAAATTCTCAGAGGTGGAATAAATTTTCACAAAGTAAAAAAATGTTAAAAACATGAAAAATAATATTAAAAGGGATACATGAAACTAGGAATTTTTCAAAAATTTCCCAGAGGATTACATTCTTAACATATAGAAAGCTTTGAAATCAATAGGAAAAATAGTCCAACAGGTAAATGTTATACAATTACAACACATGAAGGTTATCAATACAATACACAAAGGTTATCATTGTATGATTCACAAAGACGGTAATATATATGAGCAATCCATAAGGTAAAAATAAGATATGCCTTTTTGTTAAGGATGTGCTGAGGTAGGTATGTTGCTACATTGCACACAAAGTTGTGAAATTTTCACCCAGTAATTTCATTTTCAGAATGTATTATAGAGAAATAATTAGAGGTGCAAAAACAGTCATTTAAGCATAATTCATCAAAGTAAAATGTTGCAAATAACGTAAAGTTTAACAATAGAGACTATCTGAATAAACTATATATTACTTCTAAAGGGCAAACTTGTTACAAGCATTAAAGTGAAGTTTCCAAAGTATTTGTAGTTATATGAGAAAATGTTCACAGCATACTCTGAAGTGAAAACAGAAATACTCAAAGTTTTATATGCAATGATGACAATAGAGAAAGTTGACTGGAAGCAAGGACAACAAAAATGCTAATAATTTGTGTCTCTAGTTTGAGAATTTATATTCATTTTCTTAAAAAAAAATATTTTTAGGTCTCCCAAATACAGTAGCATCTCCATAGTTGACCACCTCCCTACAGTGACCACTTCCTTAAGATGACCTACTTTCCATAGACTGGACATGCACCACATGTACGTATCAGTACAGTAGGCCTAGTTCCTCATGTTGACCACCTCTCTGGATGGCGACCAGTTTGCTACAGTCCTTTGGGTGGTCAACTTATAGAAGTTCTGTTGTATTCTATAATGAACGTATGTCACTTATTAAAGACTTATTTATTGCATCATTATCTTAAGGATTGTGCTAGGGTCTAGGGATATAGGTGAGAGCAGGACAATCCTTGTCCCTCAGGGATCTTAGTAGAGAGGCAAGTCATTAACCAGGCAATTATGACACAGGGGTGCAAGCCCTGTGATGGAAGATGTTCCCGGTATTACAGTGGTGGGTTAAGAAGTCTACGTAACCATACAGTGGGTGAGTCCCAAGAGACAATGTGTATTTTGGTCAGATGAATAAGAACAGATAATATTACTAGCAATTGCACGTTGCTCAGAAACAAATGCCTCAAAATATGGTGATACGCTGAACTGAAAACAAAACCTCATCTGACAATTCCCACCCCACCTTGTCTTTTCCAAAGTTTCAGGACCTATTGAGGAAGAAAACAATTGTCTCTGGTCACTTCCGTGAGTTTGTATTAACCTTTATCATAGGAAGGAGACAGACTTGTCTCAAATGACTGTCTGCTCTGTGGGCCCAGAAGACTTTGCTGCTGACCAGGGCGTATTCTTCAAGCCCTAGTAGTCCCTGATTGCCCCTGGAGACAATTCCTTTCCTCCCCTATTCCCACAATCTGGTTTGCCAGGATCCAAGACCTCATTCCTCCTGCAAGATGTTATACACTATACGCTTCTCCACCTCACTGAGGGGCTGGGTATTTATTTTAAAGGCTTCCGTGATCACATTAAATAAATTTATATAGCCTTTTCACTCCATAAAATTGCCTTTTGAAAGTTGATTTTTCAATGAACTTTCAGAGGGCAAAGGGGAAATTTTTCCCTTTACCCTTATAAGGAGCAGATGGCCAGAGGTGATAGGGAGCCTTGGAAAGGTGGACGGCAGAGGGTATTTAAATATGACTGGAACACAGAGTCAGGCTAGGAGTAAAGACAGAAGAGCCTGGAGGGCTGAATCGCAGAAACCCAAAAGGTCTTGTACATTCTATTACTCTGAGGAAGAAACATGCAATTAAAATGCCAAAAAAAATGTCTAGGTACTAAGGAATAATTATGGTTGTAATACTTTTGCTTGTCATGTAATGAAAACAAGTACAAAAATTACTTTTGCTATGATAATCACTGATACATTTTTTTTCATGGTGTGGTCTAGTTAAGGGAAATATATGAGTTTCACAAAGGACAGTGAATTCCTAAGAGGAATTTAAAAGACATTTTAAAGGAGATAAATTAAGAGAACTACTAGAATTATGGCCTGAAGAGTCAGGTTTAGAAAAATGGGGTACTTCACAGGGACATACCCAACCTAAAGACTCAGCTCTAAAATGCTTCCTAGGTCTCTAAGTGCATGTAACAGATCAATGGCTAGAAGAAAACTCAGAAGCAGCACTAGAAAGATACAAGCATTTAGTATTTAAAAACAGTGGAATTCAACAAATAGTCAATAAAATTAGTCACTTAGAAAAACCTAGAGAAAAAGGGAAATTGGATCTCCATGTTTCAGAACAAAATACGTTTTTTAAATTAAATCATACTGGGTACATTAATTCATTTATAGGGTACAATGTGTTGACTTGATATACAATGTGGAATGCTTACATCAAACTGATTAACATAACCATCACCTCACTTACCAATTTGTCATAGTAAGACATCTATACCCTATGCTTAAGTTTTGAAATATACCATTGCATTGTGCTCATTAGGTAAGGTCCTCCCACAACAAAATACATTCTAAACTGGCTCTCCCTCTCCACACACACAGAAGGTCCCCAAACAATGTACACACATTTCAAGAAATGAAAAAGCTATATTAAAATTGTAATACTTACTGATAACATTTGTTATCTTGTATGTTGTATTTTGTATCATTGCAGAGTATTGAGTATTAACTTGAGTATTACAATTTTAATGCAGTTTTATCCTTTCTTAAAATGTGTATACATTTTTTGGCACCCTCTATGTATTTGTGCATATACATATATATTATATGTAATAAATATATGAAAAGTATATACCATGTTTCCCCGAAAATAAGACCTACTCAAAAAATAAGCCCTAGCAGGATTTCTATGCATTTGTTTAATATAAGCCCTACCCTGATAATAAGACCTAGTGATGGGTGTGGCTATGCAGTGTATCTGCATAGCCATGCCTTGCATTTCAGCAGAGTGGTAAGGAAGACTGGAATGCCTTTTATCTGCCAAAGCTCCTTTCTCCAAGCCATTTGCACTTCCGTGGTGCGTGTGTGGTAACTGTGTTTGCAGGCATCCTATTGCACATGTGCAAACTGCTAGGGGAAAGGAGTTCACGCATCACTAGCGCCAGCCCCACCAACCAGGTTGGCTCCCCCTCTCAGGTTCCAGAAGAAGATGACTTAATTGTATTTGAATAAATGTAGATTGCTGTATTATACTTAATAAAAATAAGACATCCCCTGAAAATAAGCCCTAGTGTGTCTTCTTGAGAAAAAATAAATATAAGACAGGGTCTTATTTCCTGGAAAACATGGTAGGCCATCTTTGTTTTTTGTGTGTGGACTTCCTTTCTATTTATCCTCTTCTCCTGAGTCATTTGGTGCCTTCAATCCCTGGTCTTTGGGGAATTCTTGGGCATACACTGGGTGCTTCTCTGGTTCCTCCCTTCCCTCGGCTGCTCTGTGCTTGCTGTTCGCCAGGGCTGTGGCTTGCTATTGTGCATGGTGAGCAGTGAACCACTCCTGACCATGCCCTTACTCTGGGGCCTAAGTGAGCAGTGGCCCCTGGAGCTGGCAGGATGCAACCTGCACACTCAGATGCAGGGCTCACGCTGTCTCTCCAGAAAACAAAGTCACTGTTTTCTTTTTCTAGTTGCTCACGTTTTTTTATTGTCTCTTTTTCCATTTGCCTTGGTCATGTTAGTTTCCATCTTAAAAAAAAAATTCCTTTATTGTAATTTTTGTGGGTTTCAGGAGTGACCTCGTATGGTAGGTAGATTTACTGTTTTTACTTGGTGCTCTTCTGAAGCATCACTTTTACAATGATAGCAAAATGTATGTACGTAAAATTATATTTATGAAGGCTGGAAATCTACCTTACTATGGACTGCATTTCAGTCTCTGCTATTAGTAATGACAGGTTACTTTGTATAAATTGCTCTTTTCCTTTAGGGCTAAAGTTTGTCTATAAAATGAGAATTTAGACTGGACACATTAGAGTCATTTCCAGCTGTTGTTTACATACATATGGGCTGATGTCAAGATAGCACAGGGCCTCACACAGGGTTGGTTCTTGATAATAATTATTTAATAGAAATACCACTGAAAAACAAATTTCTTTTTATAACCCTTCAAATTATTGTTTTATTTTTTCAAAATTTCTTCCTTAATAAAAAAATAGGCCTGTTTATTGTATTTTTGGTACATGTATGCACAAAGAGATGAATTCACCACTTGGAAGTATTAAAAAAATAACCTGACATTGTTACTTTTAATATTTTTTATAGAGACAGTCTCACTATGTTGCCCAGGCTGGTCTCAAACTCCTGGCCTCAAGTGACCCTCCCACCTTGGCCTCCAAATGTGCTAGGACTACAGGTGTGAGCACTCCCCTCAGCCCCCAAAGCTGCAATCCTATTTCTGGAGATAAAAGGTGACAGCTGTACTCTATCGGGAGTTTAATCTCCATTTCTTTTTTTGGAAGGGTCCATCAACCAATTCAGCTCAAAATTCAAGTGGAAGTCAACAAAAGAGCTCATGGTGCAGTGATTTTGTGGCTTTTATAGGAATCTAGTAAAAAAGGAAAAATAGATAA